TAACACAGGTTCACTTACTCCAGCAACAAATAAGGATGACAATGGTGAGTCTCCAATCTTGGATACTGAACCACAAAGTCAAAGAGAAGCTGAGGTCCAATCACAAGAAATTGTTACAACACCATCCTCACAGGTAAGTTCAAGTCCAAAGAGTGCTCAAAGGGATATCACTCCTGTTGCTTCTGTCACCACAAGTCCTGAGTTCAAACCATCAGCAAGGGTGAAACTGAATCATCCAGCACAACAGGTGATTGGAAGTGTATCGGATCGAATGAAAACCCGAAGACAGATTCGGGATGAGGTATCACATATGTGTTATATTTGGTTAATTAAACCTAAGAATTTTAAAGAGGCCTTGCTAGATGATTGTTGGGTCAATGCTATGCATGAAGAATTAGGTCAATTTGAACGTAACAATGTTTGGACTCTAGTTCCCAGACCTAGAGACATGAATGTGATAGGTACCAAGTGGATCTTTAAAAATAAATCTGATGAGAATGGTACTGTTGTTAGGAATAAAGCCAGGTTGGTTGCTCAAGGCTACACACAAGTAGAGGTGTTGACTATGATGAGACGTTTTCCCTTGTTGTACGTCTCGAATCTATTCGTATTTTTCTTGGTATTGCATGTTTTCTTGGCTTTAAATTGTTTCAAATGGATGTGAAAAGTGCCTTCCTGAATGAGTACTTGAAAGAAGAGGCATATGTTGAGCAACCAAAAGGGTTTGAGGACCCTAAATGTCCAAATCATGTCTACAAGTTAGACAAGGCTTTGTATGGGTTGAAACAAGCTCCTCGGGCTTGGTATGATAGACTTACTACCTTTCTTCTTGATAATGACTTTCATAGGGGTAGTATGGATAAGACTCCATTTGTGAAACATACTAAGTCTCATATTCTTGTTGCTCAAATTTATGTTGATGATATTGTGTTTGGATCCACTACTGATCATCTTGTGAAATATTTTTCAGATTGCATGACACATGAGTTTGAGATGAGCATGATGGGAGAGTTGTCCTATTTCTTGGGTCTTCAAATTAAACAGTCTCCTTCTGGAATGTTTGTGTCTCAGACTAAGTATGCCAAAAGTCTTGTGTCTAAGTTTGGTCTTGAGTCTGCCAAACATGCCCATACTCCCATGAGCACCAGTCTTCACCTTTCCAAAGATTCCTCTGGTATTGATATTGATCCTACCCTTTATAGAAGTATGATGGAGAGTCTTCTTTACCTCACAGCCAGTCATCCTGATATTGCCTTCAGTGTAGGTGTTTGTGCCGTTACCAAGCCAGTCCTAAAGAGTCTCATCTTCTTGCGGTCAAACGCATCATCAAATATGTGAATGAGACATTGGGGTATGGAGTTTGGTTTCTACTGATACTACAGCTGAAATTACTGGTTTTTCTATGCCAACTAAGCAGGGTGTGCGGATGATAGGAAGAGTACATCCCGGGGGTGTTTTTACCTTGGGAATAATCTAGTTTCCTGGCATAGTAAAAAGCAAAATGCCATCTCCCTTTCGACTGCTGAGGCTGAGTACATTGCCGCAGGGAGTTGTTGTGCACAAATGCTATGAATGAAGCAAATGCTTCATGATTATGGGATAGAATAGAACACTCTCACTCTTTTCTGTGATAACACAAGTGCCATAAACATTTCAAAAAATCCTGTCCAACACTCTTGCACCAAACACATTGACATTCGTCATCATTTTATTCGAGAGTTAGTGGAAGAGGGCCTTGTTGTTCTTGAGCATGTTCCCATTGAGCATCAAAAAGCTGATATTTTTACAAAACCCCTTGATCTTCTTCAGTTTGAGTTCCTTAGAAAAACCTTGGGTGTCATGCTCGATTACTAAAGTGCTACTTGTTTCTTGAGTGGGTGTGAGTGTTTGGCTTTATGTGTGCTTGGTTGCTATAATCGGATTGTCATTGATTTCTGTTTTACTTGCATACATCTTTATATGCACACTACCCATGCTGCTTACAAGATCTCATTGTTCTTTGTTCATAGCTCATTTTGAATGCCCATGCTCATTAACCTCATGATCTCATTTTGTACACATCCTTGAGATAAATTGTTGCAGGGGTGTCCGCACAAGTGATCAAAGTTATCTACGGACCACTAACAGTGTTTCTTGTACTTTTACAGTGGAATTGACCGATACTAGTATATCATGGGCGATGTTGAGTTTCTTAACCATCTATCATCATTTTTCACTTCACACGATTTCTCCCTCAGTTCATTGGAGTCCGGGCATTAGGAAAATGCGACCTCAGAGGCACCAACCAGGCCATCCTTTATGATTTCATTCTTCTCTGGTTTGGTTTCCATACTCTTGAGCGTGAATACCACCAGTGAGTGCCCACAAGAAAGAAAAAGTCAAAAAAAAAAAAAAAGAGGACTCGTTGATTGAGGGGGAGCCTCCGCATTTACTCAACAACTACCCCGTGATTCCTAGTGGTTTGGCTTTTCTCTGTGATGTTCAGTTCCTCTTGCCAGAAATCCAGCCATCCGATCACTACGAGGATTAACTCTAGCTCAGTGGACTCTCATGGATTGCACACACACTTTATTTTGTGAGATCTCATGTTGGATTTTCAGTTGTACATTCTCATGTAGCTTATGATCGCTGATTATATTTTATCTGCTTTGCTCATGATTTCCAGTGTCATTGTTTTTTTAAAATTGCAAGTTTACAGGATTCATGATCTGCGAATTATTTCATCTTAGTATCAATTTTGACCAAATGTGATCATCTACTTGTGTTCCAGGTCTCACTTCATGATAATTTATGATAATTTCTGTTATAGCAAAAAGATTCAGCATTGTTGTTCATTTTGGCTTACCAACAATGACTACCTGGTTCATGTGGGAGAGTTTTGCAACTTGGGGAAGCTAATGGAAGAGGACATACATGCATATATAGACTGATACAGACTAAAATATGCATTACAATGAATCAGAGTGAACAACAGAGAGCAATTTCCTTTTAATATAAAAATAATAGAAAGTGAATATCCTCACTAGTCACTTCTCTAGAAGCTCATCAGCAGACATAAATTTTAAAAAATAAAATAAATCAAAAGCTTGTGCTGCTATCTGCTCAAAACCATGGGCAGTTAACCAATAGCTTCACATGAATCCTTCAAACAAGTTGGAGAGAGTATGATGGGCTCTCTCCATAATAATGCAACTAACAACCACCCTACATGGGCCCTATGGTATTGACCAGCCACCAAATTATTTTAAGGAAAAATAAAAAATTTCGATCAATCAAGATATTTATATTTAGGGAAATGCTAGAGAGTTCTAAATCTAGAGCTCTAATTTGACCTCTAGTGATGTGTCAAAGCAAAAAAAAAAAAAAAAAAAAAAATGTCAAAGTTAAAAAAAAAAAAAAAACAAAACAAAACAAGGCACAAACATCACATTAGGGTGGGTCCCACCTCCCCATTAGAGCTATTAGAGCTCTTATATTAGAGCTCTAAAGCATTTTTGTTATATTTATAGATGTGAACCGATGTGAAGCGTCGGTGATTTTGGTGATCGAGATTTTGGTGGTCATAGTAGTGTCCCTCTGCCAAGTATCACTTGTCTCTAAATTGTTTTGTCCCTTACCTCAATACACTTTCAATTATTTAAATTAGGTAAATTATAAATAAATCCCTTAAAATTTGTTTAAAATACAGATTATCTCTTATAATTTGAAAAATTACAAATACTCCCTTATTAGAATTTTTTATTTAACATAATTAACTTTAAAAAATGAAATTTATAATTGCACTCCTATATAATAATAAATTACCTAAATTATTAATTGAAACATATTTTTAACATCATTAAAAACAGTTAATTGGCTTGATGTTTTATTAATAAAAGAGGTGATTTGTTATGAAATTAGAAACTTCAAGGGGTGGAATGTAATTTTTAAAACCACATGGAGCAATTCTTATTTTAATCAAATCTCAAGGGATATATTTGTAATTTATCCAAGAGGCAAAGGGGTAGAGGATTCTGTGCCACAGCCATTAGCACAAAATAAACCATAAATTTGAGAGGGCACCAGATTTTTTTGTCCCCAAATTTTTCTATACTTCTGACTCAATAAACTTTCAATTATTAAATTATATGAAAATCGCAAGATATATGAATCTCGATAAATAATCTAAAAGTTGGAGATATATTGGGATGGAGTGCTAGAAGACCTTGTGTCATGTTGCTCAGCTCAAAAGAAGTCACAATTTTGAAGGAATGAGATCCTCTGTCACTAAATTATTTTATCTCTCTGTCTCAAAATACATTTAGTTATTACATTATATCAGGTTTTTAAGATACACAAATATCGAAATATATTCTAATGGTTGCAGGTACATTAGGACTGAGAGATAAGCCATAATTTTGGAGGCACAAGATCTTTTGTCTCTAAATTTTATCTCTCTGTCTAATATATTTTCAGTTGTATATTGTCTAAAAATTTCTCTGTCACATAATGTAAATAAAATGTATTAGGATAAGGGTACAAAAATTTTGGGAAGAGAGAGAGAGAGTATCTTGGCCATATATGGTCCACCACTCTATATATAAAGGGAAAAGTTAGGGATCATGAAATTTTTTTCATGAAAATGATCATGAAAGATTTATTGGCATGTTTGATTGGAAGGATTAAAGCATGAGATTAGGATTATTAATCCGTGGGCCCAATCATCCTATGTTTGTTTTGACATTTTGGTTTAGGACTATTAATCCAATGGATAATTAATCCAACAAATTTGTACGATTATTAGTAATGGGGTAGGGGTGGGATAGTTAATACCACACTAATTTGATAGGATTATTAATACCTCACTATTAGTATTGTGAATCAAACATGGCCTATGATCCTTGGATTACCTTGATTAGTGTGTAGTGCTTTATTCTAAGTGTAATTTAAGGGTTACAAAACTTTCATGATTATTTTCATGAAAGGTTTTTCATGATACCTAGCATTTCTGATATATAAACACATACTTGGACAGCCATCTTCAACACCACTGAAGCATTGTTCACTTGTATTTATCAAGCACATTACAAACCATTTTCACTACCGTTAAATCTTATACTCTCTCACTAGAAGATCATGGGGATTCGTTTGCTGACATTTGTTCTTCATGCCAAGCAAATTCTCAAGCCAAGGTCTGTTCACAGCCAGTCCTCATCTTCTCCTGTGGCAACATCATCGGATGTCCCGAAAGGTCATTTTGCAGTTTATGTAGGAGAGAAGCAGAAGAATCGATTTGTGGTTCCATTGTCATACTTGAAGCATCCATTGTTTCAAGACTTGTTGAGGAAGGCTGAGGAAGAATATGGGTTTGATCATCCTATGGGTGGTCTCACCATTCCATGCAGTGAGGATGCCTTCTTGAATGTTGCTTCTCACTTGAATCACTACTAATCAAGGTGGAGGTCGAACAGGGTTCTAAATATAAGTAGATACATATTGTATTAGTTGATGTTGTCTGATATTAACTGGCATCTGATCGTATTGCCTTATTTAAAATCATGAGTCTGAACACTAAATTGTTCATTTCTTGATTATTAGGATGTAGATAATGAGTACTTCATGTAGATTGGGAGAAGTACAATTTTAGCCCCCCTCCACCAATTTTGTATCCTCTTGTAAAGTTCTTACTAATTTTGTATTGGAATTTCAAGGAAAATTATGAGTACATGCTACCTTGTTCTTTTCGAGCAAGGATCATCTAGAGTGATTTTTTCTTAAAGTTTCTTAGAGTGCTACATTGTGTGGTTGAGATTTACTGGCAAGTCACATCAATTTTTCTGATGTGACTTGCCAGTAAATCTCAACCACACAATGTAATACTCTAAGAAACTTTAGGAAAATTTCACTCTAGAGGATCCTTGGTGGTTCTCTTCGGAAACGTTCTGTAATGTTTGGAATTTTAACCAATATATTAATAAATGTATAAATAAAGATACAAGAGATATATGTGGGTGCCATCATTTGATATACAACTTACCTAACTTTATCCGTGTCTTATTGATGAAAAGTTAAGCGTTTGGAAAAATTATATAAATTTTTTGAGAAAATGAAATGTGTAACACTAGTCGTTTCTAAACTGAATTTGATCCATTTAGAAGAGTTGTTAAACTCTTTCACCTCATATTTTGTGTACTCTGATGTTTGTCATCTTTACTAATATGACTACTTTGATGTTTGTCATCTTTTTTTTTTTTTTTGGATAACTTAGGGTGTCCGGGACAGCTTGCGCGCACCTCGACTAATCCCTGAGGGACTAATCCCACCGTCCACTAGCGGAAGGCCCATTTAAAACCAGAGCAGAGCTCCGTATGGACTGGCTCAACACAAGAGTTGATAGTACCTAAGATGTTTTGAACCTGAGACCTAGAGAGGAGCAAACTCCTAAGTCCCAAGCCTCATCTTTACTTAAATAAAGAGGTCGAAACCCTACCTTGCTAGATAGTAAACTTTAGCCCTTACTCATAACTCATATTAAATTTAATTTTGGAGTATTCTTACTCAAAGGATGAGTCAAAAGTTTAATAAAATTCTGTAAAACTATTTTGTCACTTTCAAATTTATCATTATGGTATTAATGAAAATTTTACTCAAATTTAAGTTTGTCTATTGAAGTATTTCATATCGAATAAAAATTTTACTCAAAATTTAAGTAAAAGTTAGAGAAGGCTTTATGGACAAATCGTATGATTTCAATCACAAAATAATGAAGAAAAACAATCAAACACAATATAAGCGGTTCAATAATATGCCTACATTTATGCAAAGAAAGAGATCAAATTCACTATAGCTAACAAGAATTTTAACCTCTGAATTCAACCAATTTACAAAACCACACTCTCACATTGAAAATGACCTCCAAAAATTAAACTAGATCTACAACAAAAAAACATGTCCCTCACACCCTAAACCGATCATAAAAATACACACATAACATCATTCACCTAGTTGTGGGCATGGAGGCCATCCATGTGAGGGGTCCTTTTATTTTTTTCTTCAAAATTATGTAGAATTATATTGTTTCTCTAGCTAGGGCAGGACATTCAATTTAAAGTAATGTCAAAAACACTAACAAATATACTAAATAAGATACAAGATTTACACACTAGTTTCATTACTTGACATAAGACTCATCTAATATTGTGTTTAGTTAAGCTTCATTTGGTATGAGCTATTTTGGCTAAATTAATTAATAAAGACTAAACAGTCTAATTTAGTTAATAAGACAAATGTTACATTTAAATTATAATAATTTTATTTTTTCTCTCATAACCATCAAATCAACTACAAAAAATAAAAATAAAAATTTAGGGACACTTATCAATCAATCCTATTAACTGGACTTTTATTTATTTACAGATCCTGACTGATAAATTTATCACTATAAATTTACTCATAAAAATGAAAAGGACTAATTAATTTATCACTTGATAAATTTATCAATAGGACTTAATGGGTAATAAGTCCCAAAAGTAGGATCTATTGATAATTTATTCCAAATAAGATTTTTTTAGCAAAATTAAAATAGTAAAAAGGCCAAAAAAAAAGAGAGGCTAAATTAACTCATCCCCAACAAGGGCTTAGTATGTTTTTGTTGGTACATGTCCGTGACATTGTTGTTCAATTTAACACAATTATCATGCAAATAAGGGTTTTAGAGGTCATGATGAACTAAGGCCTCATTTGGCAAGAGGCTATTTTAGCCAATTAGCCAAAAAGTTATTAAATTAGCCAAAAAGCCAACAACCCATACCAAAAAGTCAAAGATTCTCTTTTCTCTTTACTTTTAGCACATCTTTTCGTAATTAGCCAAAAAGTCATCCCAAACATACAAGTTTTGTTACCTATCTTTTTAGCCAAATAGCCAAAAAGTTACTAAATTAGCCTGTTCCCAAACGAGGCCTAAGTTAGCCTATGGATTTCGATTCTTTCCAATTAAGCAGTACTATTAGGGTTAGTCAACCATTTGAGGACCTATCTTAATAATTTGAACAATTTATGTTTTAAAATTGTAGCATTATTACCAATGCAAATAACCAAAATGGTCAGTTGAGCTCATCAACGCTTCACTCCATTAAACCCAACACTTCTGTAGTTGAGCATCCAATCAAAAGAAGTGTTTTTTTACCATAGCACAAAACTAATGATTGATTTAGTGTTGTCCATATACACCAATTTGCACCAAAAAGTAGCTGGAGGGAGTTGGCGAAATTAAATAGGATAATGACTTGGGATAGGCACATGTGCTGACTCCTAACTTTGTATGCACCCATCATCTTGGCAAGTGCAACGATCATGTGCTTGTTGATGCGCGCGCGCGAGAGAGAGAGAGAGAGTGCACATATCTAAATGGTTCGTCAGGTATGGGCAATCCTACTACAAACAACAAAACTTCAGTCGCATTTTATTTTATTTATTTATTTTTAGTTTTCATTAAATAATTTATTAGTTATATGGTTAAAAAATTAATTATTTTATTAAAAGAAAATAGTTGGTTTGAGTGACGAACTATGCGAGAAAATTTATAAAGAACTTACGTGTAAGTTCTAATAGTAAATTTATTGTCTAATAAGTCCTAGTGAAGAATTAATGATATTTTTCATCAACCACTATTAAAAAAATGTCACTAATCATTAATTTTTAGTGACAATTTAAAAATTTGTCACAAAAATATCACTAATTATTAGTTTTAATGACAGTTTAAAAAAATTGCCACAAAAATATCGCTAAGTTTCAACTTTCAGTGACAATTTGAAAATTTTGTCACAAAAAAAGTTACTAATTGTAAATTTTAGCAACAATTTATAAAAATCGTGATAAAAAAATCACTAATTGTTAATTTTTAGCTATATATACAAAAAAATATTTTTAGCGATGATTTTACTAGGACTTGTTTTTAATAGAACTTGATGGGAATTAAATTCAACTATTAAGATTTATTGATAGTTTATCTAAGAAATAATTATACAGTAGTATCACTACTAAAAATCAGAACTTTTGCGACGGTCTTAAACGTCGCAAAAAGTTCACATATCCTCGCAAAAGACTTTTTGCGACGTATATATATATATTTTATCTTAGATTAACTCTATCAATCCAGTTGTTCCGATAAACTCTTTCCATATCCACTAGTTGTGCATCAAATGAATCTTGATGATTTTTTAGAATATAGAGAAAGTTACTCATTGAGTGTGAGTGGGGTCATTTGACATGAAGAACATGCTGAGAATACCTGAGATTTGTGAAGAACGGTGGGCGATTGGCAAATTGGCCTTGAGATTTTCCACATTACATAACTAATAATAAATAAATGCACGGATAAGGTACATGCCTTGCTTGCAGAGGGTAAATCTTTCATTAGATACATGAAATATTTAACATTCTATTTTTTCGTAGATTCAAGAGCATTTTTTTTCTATTAAAACGATATCTAATTCTTTATGTATTTTACTGCGTTAAGTGATATCAAATAAGGATTTGTCTAACTCAATGGCACAATGCAAAGGAGATCATAGAAACCCTACTGGCGATGATAGTAGGGTATATGCCCTGTGGGCAGCATTTGAGAAACACTATAATTTAAATGAGTGTATTTTTTAACTTTTTACGAAAAAATTTATAAAAAAATATAGAGATGGTATGACCCAAAAAAAATAAAAAGATAAAAAATATACTATTTTAGTACACCCCAAACAAGCCCAAACAAAATTCATATATGCTTATTAGTTTGAATCTCAACGCCAACTACAGGCCAGCAGTGGTTGATAGGATTTTTACTAAAATGATATCTAATCTTCAGTGTATTCCAATGCATCAATAAATTTTTTTAAAAAAAAATTATATATTTTTTATTACACTTTTTAATAAAAAATTAAAAAAATTATGTCTAATCAAGTGATTGAAGTTGATGCATTTATATATTTTTCTCCACCCATGTGGGTGGGTTTAAGAACATTAAAAGTAGAGCTCTAATGAGAGCTCTACTTATGTGGCAGTAGCTCCCACTCATGAATAATTTGATATATGCGTTTTGTTGTTATAGTTTTTTATTTTTATTTTTATTTTTTATTTAATGATTTGATATATGTGTTTTGTCGTTATTGTTTTTTTTATTATTATTATTTTACTCCATGTCACATCATTAAAATCATTGTTAGAGTTCTAAATTTAAAGTTATGAATCTACGCTCGTGGGTTTAATGGAGTTGTTGCTAACGGCCGCTGGTTTTTGAAGTATATGAGCATTGAGTGCAAGTCTATGCCCCGTTTGTTTTGGGTGAAAGAGAGGGTATTGGGATTGCTAATACCAAGATATTAGTAATAGCCTTGTTTGTTTTGGGAGAAAGCCTTGGGACTATTAGTCCCTTAGTATTACTAATACCCTTGGAGAGGGGATTGGTAAGGAGGAGGTAGAGATGGTATTAGAAAAATAGTGAGGGGATTAGAAATTTTTTTATTTTTTTTATTTTTTATATATGGGAAATTTTTTTTAAAATATAATTTTTAATTTTTTATATTTTTTTATTTGTTTTATTATTTTATATAAAAATAATTTAATAATTCCTCACTACTAATCCCCTCACTAACAATCCCCTCACTATCAATCCCTTCCATTCTATCTCTGGAAACAAACGGGCCCTAGAGTAGAGTGTTTCTTTGGACCATCATG